TGAGTGTTGTAAGAAGAAGGGGGGATGCCACACAGTGGTAAAAATGGACTTGTCCCAACTTTTTTGGGATTTGTTGACGCCATGAAATTTGGAAACAACAGATTTTTCCCTTAAAATGATTCATTCTCTCAGTTTAAACCTTTGATCTGTGATTTGTGTTCTATTCAGAATAAAATATTAGATGTTGGCACCTCCACATCATTGCATTCAGTTTTTATTCACAATTTGTTTAGTGTCCCAACTTTTTTGGAATCCAGTTTGTATTAAATTCCCCTTCTTCATCCCCGATCTGGCCTTTTCTTTTTTTTTTTTTTTTTTTTTTGCAAGTGATCTCTTCCTCCTCCGTTGATGCAATAATTGGAATGGTGAGAAGTGAAGGAATTTGTCACGAGCAGTTTAGACTCAGGTCCAGCGTGGCTGCGGGAGGGTCTGGAGATTTCTTGGTGGGCTGGTCTGATGTGTGGGCTGCGCAGATCCAGCTCTCCCTGTTTTTTTAATTTTTCATATCTTTTTATTAACAACATATAAACACAGAACACCGCTGCAGCTGAGGCTGCCAGTGCTCAGTTTTTTTTTCTTTTTTTCCCTTTTTTCCGACCTGTCAATCAATCCAGTAGGCGTGTCAGCAAATGACCAGTCGGCGACCTCAATTTGTGACGAAAGTAAACGCCCCTTGTCTGTGAAGCTGCTCTGCAGCTGCTCGGGGTGGACACTGGAGTCTGAAGTCTCAACCCTCTGCGTACAGTACACATGTACGTACGCGTGAACGTACGTACGCGGGATTATACTGGAGGCTTTAAGCTGCAGTAACGTTAGCAAACGTAAACTCACCAGCTGAAACACAGACACAGAGCCGTCCTTGGAGTTCTTTGATGAAGCCCGTCCGGCCGTGGAGATGTTGATTGACTCCGTTTAACACTCACAGACTGACTCACGCTGAGAGGAGGAGGAGAGGCTGCTGTCCGTCTTGTCTTTTTGCAGAAAAACACAGAGCAACTTTCTGCTCGTGTGTTGTCGAAGCCGTTCGACAACACACACTGCACATGTGAACCCTGTCTGTGGGCGTCACCAGCACCGTAGACATACATTATTCATAGATTAGGTGCAGCAGCTCTATACAGCTCTGGGTGTAAACACGTAGTCTGTTTGTCATACGTCTGGTGTTTTACCTGCCTGCATGATGAAACCATGTGACAAGTTACAGCCAATACTGAAACTTGACACAGAAAAAAGAGTGACGTTTCAATCCATACACCGAGCGGTGCAGTTCGGTCGGTGCCATTTAAGAACCTCAGTTTGGTACTCAACCCTACATGTCGGGGACGATCATTTAAGGATGTTTTCAGTGAAGACAGCTGCTGCTGTGGTGTCCATGATGTCTGTCCATCATGAAGGATGTTGTTGTTTGTTGTTGTTTTCTGGAATGAGAGAGTAAATATGTTTTATAGCATTAATTACAGCAACTCAAGAAATGCCTTGTTTCACTTACAGTGTTGCGTTCAGGCAAATAAATAGCCCAAAGAGCAATTAAACACACTCACACACAATATACTTAATTACACACATTTGAGTAGATGTAATAAATTACTTTAATTCATGTTTAAATGCAATTCATCCTGCCATACCTGCAGTATCTTCAGACTGCCAGCAAATTAAAAGTTGAAGCTTAATCATTAAATTATTATCTTTGTGTTAGATTTATTTATAAATCACATTTAAACACTGATTGTACCAATTAAATTAAATACACGTTCTTTATCACCGTCATTAATCAGAGAACAAGCAGCAGCTTCAGCTGCAGAGAGACTGACGTTACGTTTTCTCTCTTGAAACAGAATAAATGTTGAATATTGTAGAGACTCACCTGCAACACATGACAAGTTGTATCAGCTGTTCAGCTCCTTCCTCCTCCTCGTGACTCCGACATGTTTACGTTTATCTCCGTGGTTCTCCCGTGTCGTCACTTTTCAAAGCTGCATGTTTCTCATTTTTTTATCTTTGTGAAGTTCTCCCACTCTTTGGAGGACTTGAGTCGAACTGTTTTCTCTGCGTCAGTCATTTGTAAAATTTACTTAATTTCCTTTGAAAACAGCCTCTGCTCTGCTTCCTCCTCCCCCTCGCTCTGTTCAACTCGTGCTGCAGAGTTTTTTTTTCTTTCAAACTTTATTCAGTCAGCCAATATTGACAATACACTGCAGGTGAACAAAACGGCAGCGCCGTGAAAGACGCATAATCACGCAACACAACGAATCGATAATGAAATTCATTGCCAACACTTTTAATCATTGATTTTTATCGATTTTATCGATTCGTTGTTGCAGCCCTACTTGTCAGCTTTGAAAACTTAACCAAGCTCGTTAAACAACGTTAAAGCCGTGACTGTTTTCTCTGCATGAGATTTTGAAAGTGAAACTAGTTTGGACAGTACAAACTGGAACTTGACTGATTTATGCAGCACATACTGGTGCCGTAAAGAGAAGCTGTTGTAACGTTTAATTAATAAAATAAAAGTTCATAAAAATTGTCTGCTGACTAATTTACTTAATCAGTGATTTTGGTCCTTGCTACTTCTGCAACAGCCCTAGATTTGACATCATTACATCGTTACTGCACATGTTTAGTTGATTATACCTTTGTAATAACTGCTGTTTATTTAGGATTCACAGACTTAGTGTTCCAAGTACTTTAGTATTGCACTAAACCCTACTCTTTCATACCTGTAAAAAATACACAGGTGTCTCGACAGCCATGTCTTTTTCATAAAATGTTAACGTAAAAAGTGTTACCATTAATAATAATGTTATTATTATTATTATAGGTTTGAGATGAACAGAATTCGAATACATGTCCTGCCCTCAAGTCGTAACCGGGTGACCCAGACCTGTCGACCTCAGGAGCCCCAGTCTTGCTCCTTTACTCTGCGACCATGTTCTCAGCCCCGTCTGGAAGGCCTAGAGTTCTGCATTAAACACATTCTGGAGGACAAGAATGCCCCCTACAAGCAGTGTAGCTACGTTTCTGTCAAGAATGGCAAGCGCTGCCCCAATGCTGCTCCTAAAGCAGAGAGAAAAGATGGGTAGGTATAAGGTCATGTCTTCATCAGCTTTTAACAAAATCAAGCTTTGCACAAGTTAAACCTCAGCTTTGTTCATTGTAGCCCCATTTGGAAACATTATCTCACAAAAATCCCAATTTTTGTCTTGCAGAGTGACTTTCTGTGCAGAACATGCTCGCAAGAACGCCATGGCTTTGCAAGCTCAGATGAGAAAGGCTTCTTCTGGTCCATCCCCAGAGGCTTTGTTATCACAGCTAAGCTGTCACCACCGTGCAGAGACTCATAACCTAGATGGAGGACGCTCTGAAACCAGCCGCATTCTAGGTAAAAAGCCTTGCTTTGATTTTTGTATAATACATTTTAACAGGTAAGTAAGTTGAGAACAACTTCTCATTTACAATGAAGACCTGGTTAAAAGACAGCAACACAAGTGGATAGAGGTGTAACGGTACGCTAAATCACATTTCAGTTCGATTTAAAGCAGGGCTCGGCTCGGTTCATTTTTGGTACAAAAAAAGACAGTGAAGACTTACAAAACATTTATTTTGAAAAGATGTCAAGTAAACAATACGTTTGTATAAAAATAAATAAAAGTGACCCATTTGGATGATATTTTAAATAAACAACACTCTTTACAATAAATAAACTATACTAAGAATAATAAAAATCTTAATAAATACAACAAGAGTCAGAACCAGAACAATAAGCAGCAACAGACAGTTTACAATCTTAACTAGTCAAGTTTAAGTTTTTGGTCAAAAAGACCAACTTGTCCACATTTTCTCCTAAAATCACAGATCTAGTTGCAGTGAATATCTCTGAACATCTCCAGCGGTGGAGGAAACCTCTCACTAGCAACAGTAGCAGGAATAAAGAGGTAGAGCTTTGATCGTTTTCAGTGTGGCTGCATTTGGCCTCATTATTAGTCACAGCCTCTTGGAGCTGCTCCCACAGGTGGAACAGGTCCCTGGAAAAGTTCAGTTCACTCATCACACACTTCTTAGCTGGAGGTGATCTCTGGTGGACTTCCCTGAAGAGGAGGAAGACTCAGCTGCTGTCTCTGTCCTAGACTGGGAATAAAACACAAATAGGTAAAAAAAAAAAAAAGAGTTCATAAGATTATAATAATAAAAAAAAAGTTAAGTAGATAATAATAAAAAAAAAACAATACCTCTTCTTGAACAGTTGTTATGAGGTGGTTGAATCTCTGTCATCATCATCATCAGGGCTTTAATCTGGTCCAGGGCTTGTTGACAATATCAGTTTTAGCTTTTTCATAAAGTGCTGCTAAAACTTTTTGGCTGAAGTGTTGACGTGATGGATGTCGTAGTGGGGCTCAATAACAAAGTTGTCTCAAGGAACTTTACAGAAACATTCACATAAAAGCCAATTAGTAAAGTTCTCTATCTAAGGAATCCAGCAGACAAGATGAATCTTGGCTTCGTTGCAGTCTCCCATCCTGAGCAAGCACAGTGGCAACAACAGAATACGTACGTAGATCCATAGCTTTCAAAACTCCTACAGCATGTCTTATTGCTCTGGACCTATCTGAATTACCTGATGAAGGTTGTTTAAATGCTGCTGTTATCGGTCTTTGCACCAATCAAGCTGTTATTCTGTAGAAGAGACATTCATGTTCGGATGATGTCGTTTCAAGAGCGTTAACAAGTTCGACGTGTTGCTGCTGCAGATCCAATCTCTGTGAAACAACGTCGACACAAATCGTTGTGTTTGCACTTGTCTTTTAACAAGAAAGTCATAATGTTCCCAAACAGGAGACCGCAGCAACATGCTAGGCTGCTAATGCTACGTGTGCTGCAAGATAATAGCACCGTGCTGAAACACGCATAGGAACTTTTGTTCCACGGCGCATAATCTCTCGTTAATAAAATTTAATGAGTGAAAAAAATAACCGAAACAGTACGCACATGGGCCGAACATGCCATACCGAAACGGTTCGGTACACCCACGTGTACCGTTACACCCCTAATAGCCAAGTGTTCAACCCTAAGGTCACTCAGTTCTGTTTTAAGTTCTCAACTGAGAAGACTTCATTAAATTTAGTGAAATATTGACTGATAAATCGTTTTGAAACATAATTTGACATATTACATATTTAAGCCGCCCTCTACTTTATGGCAGATGAAGAAAGTCTAAGTGAAGAGGAACAGGGACCCCTGGTCCTGGACCAGACCTGGAGAGGAGATCCTGACAGCGAGGCTGACAGCGTTGATAGTGACCATGAAGATCCACTGAAGTAAGCTACAATGTTCAGCCTGCAGCAGTCAGTCGTCTTTGACGCATTGCTTTGTCAACAACAACTCACTGTTTATTGAGAAATTTTATATTTGAAGTGTCAAAATAAATACAATCTAATTAAATAAAACAGAAGCATAAGCTTGGCTTGCACTTTTTAAACTTTTAGTGATGCTTTGTTTTTTCTTTGCAGACATGCAGGAGTTTACACAGCAGAGGAAGTGGCGTTGATTACTCGAGAAAAGCTCATTAGACTCCAGTCTCTTTACATTGACCAGTTCAAACGCCTTCAGCACCTGCTCAAGGAGAAAAAACGCAGATACCTTCATAATCGTAAAATGGAGCACGAGACTTTAGGTAAGTATATGAAGAATTGTTGTTCTGTTGTCGTAGAAGCAGCTTCTCCTTGTTGCACTTTTTGTTTATTTGTATTTGTTTATGACAGGAAGCAGTCTGTTGACAGGGCTCGAAGGTCTTTCCATGAAGGAGAGGGAGAACCTGAAGAAGCTCAAAGCTCTGCGTCGATATCGTCGCCGGTATGGTGTAGAAGCCCTTCTGCATCGCCAGCTCAGGGAGAGAAGGCAGGCTGTGACAGAAGGAGCCCCTCAGGTATTAACACAAGCTCAGAGCACTTTAAACTGGCTGGAAAAGGCTCGTTTTTGAAAAGCAAAAAAGGATGTCCCTACTCTTGAGGCTAAAAAGAAATCAAGCACATCTAAATTAAATTATAATTAAAGCTCACCAACAAAAAGTTAATCACCCAGAAGGAACGGTTTAATTAGGATGGAATATGGCTCACATGCAGATTAGTGAGGACTGTGCACTTTCCAACTTTGATTTGGACCCGACTTGGAGAAATTAATCTGTTTTTATCACAGCTCGTCTTGACTACTGTATGCACTGCATGTAGGCATGAGCCAGACCTGCCCGTCTACAGCTTGTGCAGAACTCTGCTGCTCGCCTGTTAACTCAGGCTCGTGGGCGCGAGCATATCACTCCCATCCTGGCGTCCCTTCTTTGGCTCCCTGTGCGCTACAGAATTCATTTTAAGCCTTTGCTATTTGTCTTTAAATACTTGAACAACCTTGCCTCACCATATCTATCTGAGCTGCTTCAGCCTAACTGTCCACCCAGATCCCTAAGGTCAGCTGATCGGTTGCTGCTGACAGTCCCTAAAACTAGGCTGAAGCTCAGAGGTGACAGAGCTGTTGCTGTTGTTGCAGCTGTTAGAACTAGGGCTGGGTACCTTTCTAAAAAAATCGGTACCGGTGTCGGTTCCTTCACTTCGGTGTCGGTTCCTGGACGGTTCTTGTTTCGGTACCAATTTTGTAATTAATATTAATTCTAACAAGAATAAAATTACGTTACACATTACAGTACAAATTGTGAGTTTATTTTTTAACTTTGGTATTTTTCTATTCCAAGCAGTTTTCTTTCATAGAAACAAACAAATAATTTCCAGTTCAAAAGACCAGTTACAAACCAGTGACACGTCAGTGTCTAATGGTCACTGCTACACTGAGGACCTTTTCACTGAACAGTTTTTATTCAGAAACATCATGTCTGTTTTCTCTGGACACAAACCAGCTGCTCCTGGCTGATGGTGTCTCCAGCAGTAGAACATGTTCACTCTGAGGCTGTAGATGATGATTGTTGCACACACAGATACCTGGTTGTCAGTTTGACATATTGTCCCTCACATCCCACCAGCAGGTCACTGGATTCACTGAGGTAGGGATGATGCAGACTTCTGCACCTCTGTGTCTCTGCCTGAATCTTCTCTGTGGTTCTCTGGGGTTTAGGGCTCTGATCATCTCCCTAATTGACATGAGAACAAAACATCAACAATAACATGGTTGTGTTATTATTGATCAAAAAACATTATCTAGGCTGAGAGATAAAAGTTTAACTGGTCAACAAAATCTATCCATCCATTTTCTTTACCCGTTTGTTCCATTTTGGGTCACAGGGGTCGCCGGTGCCCATGTCCAGCAATCACTGTGCGAGCGGCGGGGTACACCCTGGACGGGTCGCAAGTCCATCGCAGGGACACATAGAGGCAAACAACCATGCACTCTCTCACTCACACCTAGGGACAATTTAGAGTTACCAATCAGCCTAACATGCATGTTTTTGGTCTGTGGGAGGAAACCGGAGTACCCGGAGAAAACCCACGCATGCATGGAGAGAACATGCAAACTCCACCCAGAAAGGCCCCTGGACCGGGGTTTGAACCAAGGACCTGCTCACTGAGAGGCAGCAGCTCTACCAGTTGCGCCACCGTGCTGCCCTCAACAAAATCCTTTACAGTTTAATTTACCTCCAACATGCAGCTCCACTATAGAAAAAGCAGCAAACTTTTAACAACAAAGTCTGATTGTCCTGTGGCCCCCCCACCTCGCTTTTCTTTTGTCCTCCTCACATCAGGGTCAGAACCTCCTGTGAGGAGAACATTAACATAAACAGTGAACATTAGTGAACTGTTTAAGCAGCTGACTGGATGGATGAGCAGTTTTAAAAGCTAAGATTTATGTTACTGTCAATCTTTAGTTAGCTTCTGAGTTTAGCTAGCTACTTAGATAAAATAAATTTACACACTAACATGTTAAAGTTAGCGTTACATGGATCATAATTTATTTCACCACGATGTACGTGTTAAGCTGCAGTTACGTTAAACGTAAACTCACCAGCTGAAACTCACAGAGACGTCCTTGGAGTTCTTTGATGAAGAGTCCGGTCGTGGAGATGATGAATCAGGATGTTCAGGCTCTCACAGGCTGACTTTAATGCTGAGAGGAGGAGGGGGGAGGCTAATGAACCCTTCTCTCCTCGCAGAAAATCATGGAGCAACTTTCTGCAGCGCGTGTTGTCGAAGCCGTTCGACAACACGCGCTGCACACGTGAACCCGTCTGTGGGTGTCACTAGCACCATAGACATAATTATACATAGATTAGGTACAGCAGCTCTATACAGCTCTGGGTGTAATCTGGGTGTAGTCTGTTTGTCATATGTCTGGTGTTTTACCTGCCTGCATGCTGAAACCACGTGACACGTTACAGCCAATACCGAAACTTGACACCGAAAGAAGAGTGACGTTTCAATACATACACCGACCGGTGCAGTTCGGTTGGTGCCATAAAAGAACCTCGGTTCGGTACTCAGCCCTAGTTAGAACGAGAGATGGATGCGGGTCACGGTTCACTGCAGCTAGCTGTTGCTAGCCGGTGGGCCTTAGGCCTCCTCTTGAACCCAGGACCCGCCTCAAGCCCACGCTGCTCCCCCGGCTCAGACCTCCCTCAGAAGTGGCACTCACACTAACAATAAATCTAGGAAACGTGAATTCAGTTTTTCCAATTGTATTAAAATCAAGGCAGGAAAAGGTTACAGTTTACAGCGCTGGCCTCTCCGCTCTACGACACGGAGATCAGAAACTGGAAGGGGCCGATGTCCCATGGCATTACAGATTTATAGGCCCTAGACTCCTCCTTCGCAGAAGGAGAGCTCAACCTGTCACGTGTATGAGGGGGAGTGACTAAGTGTGATCTTAACGGATCTTATGTGGTTTGAAGTGTAAGGAAAAATGAGACGGTGCTTCAAAAGCCTTTCTACGTGATGTAACAAGCAAAAGAAAACTCTTTCCTTGACGGATATTGAATCCCTGGGAGACTCTTTTTATAGTTGCTGGTTCCAATTAACCCAGTCAGAACCGGGTCATAATTTCATTATAATCCCGTTTCTGAGCAGATCAAAAAACCCCAGGTCCAGTCTAGATAATTTACTAACACTCCCAAGATGTGGAACAGTTTACCTTTGAGTGTCAGACAGACCTCTCTTCCTGTTTTTAAATCTCTTTTAAAAACACACTTTTGTTCTTTGGTTTTTAACACACCATGATCTTGTCTTGCATGGCACCTTAAAACACCCCTGCTGTGAACCTGGTGTGTGTATGTTTTTATTGTCAATCTAGTTTTGTCCTATTGTACAGCACTTCAGCTACACCTGCGGTTTTTAAAACATGCTATAGAAATAAGGTTGATTGATTGATTGGTAATTTCTGGCATATCCAGCCCGGGTAAACCCATGCATTAAGGTGGCCCAGTTGATAGGCCACCTAAATATAAAATGTTTACTAGTTGCATATTTTATTATTAGTGTTGATCTGTTGAACTGTTGGCCGAAGACTTCATCGTACTGGTTCAGTTTGCATCTGGTCCTGAACAAGAACATGGACACACTCTGATTCACATTTTAACACAACTTTTTTCATGTCTTGTGGCACCTAATGTTCTTTTTTTGTACGAAATTGAGGTAGATCCTACTTTTGTTGTGTATATTGTGTTGAAAGTTTTGAATGTTGCAAAATATAGTTTTCAAATAGAAGCTGTACTGGCGTTGCTAACAGCCCCTTTTGTGTCACTGATACCTTTTCTTCAAATATTGTGTATGTTTTTGTTCTGGTTCTGTTGCAGCTTCACTCAAGAACAGTGAATGAAAACTGCATCGCTTTTGTGGAGGACACCAGATGTACCAATCCCTGCCTGCCAATGGCTCGACACTGTGTCTCACGTATCCTTGAACATTGTTTAACTTGAGGTTTTGTTTCATTTACGTTGATCCGTTTTCAAATTTGTAGTCCCAGATGAGTTGATAAAACCGGATATGAGCACTTCTTAAAGTTTACTTTTAGTTTCTGCTGATTTTATCTCCTAGTCTTTTCTCTCAGCCTTGGCTCTTGATCAAAAGCTACAGCGTGCAGTAGCTGTTAGTTTTTAAATGAGCCTAAATAAACGCCTTCTTGTGGTCTGTTGATTTGTTTCCCCAGACTTAAAGAGGGACTTATCACCTCAGTTAGAAGGAACAATGTTTTTCTGATTACCTTAAACCTGAACCCCAAATTATTTAAAGCTGTGTTATTTTTATAAGTTATGTACTGATACTGGCATACATGGTAGCAGGGGCGGACTGGGACAATAATCCAGGCCGGGAATTTTGATACCATCCCAGGCCACCACCACCTGATTAACGCAAACCACCAAGACTGAGTTCAATTGAGCGCACTTTGAATGCATGTTGTTTGCACACGTCTAACTGAGTTTTCACTTATTGACTATTTATATGTATTGGCTATTCATATAACAAAAAAAAAGGTCTTAATCTCAACGGAACTTTACCTGGTAAAATAAAGTTTAAATAAAATATTGTAATACAAGGATTTTAATATTCAGATAATTTATTGGAGTAATGAAGGGTATACACAAAATATCCTCAATAATCCAGGTAGAAATTCTAAAAAAGTTAAGTCAGGTCCTCTGGACAGATTAAAAAAAAAAACAACTTGTTGAAACGTTTAGTCTTTAATCCAAAAGACTGTCAGTTTGAGAAGCTGCAACAAACTTAGTTTCAAATAGTCTCTTTTCATAGTGGATCAACCAGTTTGTTGCTGACATCCAGAACTAGCTGTTAACATGATAAAGGAGGACCATCATCAGCCTAACAATGGATCGTTAGTGCTCTAGGCTGTTTGCTATTCACAGGGGGCTGAGAGATACCAGCAATAACAGCATTGTAAGAGGGCTACAGTTGGACACAGAGGCCTCTGTCCCTGTTTAATGATGGATGAGTTCTCATCACAAAGATGGCTTCCTTTACTCCTCTCTCAAACCAACACTTCTCTATCAAGGATGAGCACATCTTCATCCCTGAAAGTGACTGCTGGCCTGCAGATGAGTGTAAACCACAGAGTTCTCCTGGCCTGATGATGTTGCTCTTTGGCCCAGCACAGAAGAGCAACATCTTCAGGCCAAGACTCGGCAGTTTACACTCATCTGCAGGCCAGCAGTCACTTTCAGGGATGAAGATGTGCACATCCTTGATAGAGAGGAACTATGGTTTGAGAGAGGAGTAAAGGAAGCCATCTTTGTGAAAAGAAACCATTGTTAGGGGTTGTTAGGCTGCAGGTCTTCCTTATGTTAACAGCTAGTTCTGGATGTTAACAACAAACTGGTTGATCCACTATGAGAAGAGGCTATTTGAAACTGAGCTTGTTGCAACTCCTCAGACTGAACTTAGTTTTTTGGATTAAAGACAAAAGTTTCAACAAGTTTTTTTTTTTATTTGTCCAGAGGACCTGACTTAACTTTTTTAGATACAAAAAAATCTGAATTCCTAGACATTTCAACAT